ACTCTGCTGTGTTGCTGTTTCTCTGTTCTTACAGGTGTTTGTGGACTGTAACTCTGCTGTGTTGCTGTTTCTCTGCAGATTTTGCTGCTGCTCAGAGCTGCTGACTCCGCACAGTGGACGTTGGAACGATGTCCTGCAGGCCTCTCCCCCCTCTTAGCCCCCACCAGGGTTTTCCTCAGCAGACACTCCTGGGTTTGACCCAGTTCTGGTTCCTGGTTTAGCCCGGTTCTGGTGGAGCCCAGCGTCCTATTGGCTGCCTGAGGTGGACAAAGCGTCCTATTGGCTGCTGGTTTTCTGGGGGGAACTGGCTCCACTGCTTGTGGTTTTATCTCCATTAACTGAACTGAGATCTGAATACTAATAACGCCAGCTGTGAATCTTTAGAACTGTTCTTTGTTTGATTTGAGATAAGATGAGTTTTAGTATGTTTCTGTGCTGCTGGGTACCAGAAAGCTCCCAATACACCTGTCCCAGTACACCTGTCCCAGTACACCTGTCCCAGTACACCTGTCCCAGTACACCTGTCCCAGTACACCTGTCCCGGCGTGGATGCTGCTGTAGGCCTTTATTTGATCGGGTCACACTCCCTGCTGCGTCCTTAAAAATCCACCGGAAAGAATAAGATGTTTTTATTTGTACGTTTCAAAGCTGCTTCAATAAAGGTCTGAAGAACCTCTAATCTGAGTCATATATATATTTTTATATATATTTTTGTTGTTATTTTTTAGTTTTTTTTTTTACTTTCTTGGCCCTTTAACAAAATACGAACAAATGAAAAGAAAAATACGTTTGAAAGTATTCAAAACAATGTCCTTGATCCAAATCAGTCTGGGTTTAAAAGAGGCCACTCGACTAAACGGCTCTGTTATCTGAGACAGAAGCCTTAAAAGAAGCGAGAGTGACTGTCAGGTGCTCAATATTTATCCTTCTGGACTTATCAGCCGCATTTGACAGTCAATCACCTCACTGGTCGATCATTTAAAGTATCCTGGCTTGGTCACAGATTACTTTTTTACAACCATGTTCCCCATTACACCCCACTAACATGCTAATTGGTTCTTTACACATACATATTCACATATAGAGAGAAATCATTATGTTTGAATGTAATGTAATATAATATATACTTATAATTATACAATTAATAATATAAATAAATTATTCATAATTATAAATGATTATATGATTTAATATAATATATAGTATATAAATTTAATAGATTAAAAAAAAATCTAATTAAATAGTCTTGGCCTTTAAATAAAAATTAATCTGATTCTGACTCCTTTGTGTTTGAGGCTCCCTAAAAAATAAAAAGCTCCCTAAAGCTGTTTTATTTCAGGTTTCATAAGTGAGCACGCCTGATTATCTATCTATCTATCTATCTATCTATCTATCATCTCTCACATGTTGAACCCAGTTCTACTAATGGAGTTGACCCTCTGTTTGTAAACTCAATAGCTCCATCTAGTGGCCGTATCGGGAACTATCATTGAAAACTGGATGAAGAAATACATACATTTAAAGGTAATTAAAGGTCTCCGTTTCCTGATCGTGACACCAGTAAAGTGTCTGTTAACATTTGATAAACACAAATATTAGTTTATATTTGAATGTTTATAAACTAATATCTGTGTGGGGTTTTTGAATCGGACATCAAACAT